GAGATTATCCCCATGGTTCCTGCTTTGTAGATCTCTGTCCTTTTTCAAGCCTTGTCCTTTAACCTTTCCATAAATTATTTTCGTTATGAAAACTCATTATAGTGCCTTTTCTTAGTTAATTGGAAATGACAATATGGTTCAGTTTAAAGACATTTGATTTCTTTTGCTGGCAACCAAAGAACATGGACTGAAATATTGTACTGGGCACTGACAGTACACCTGGAAACAAGGCAGACAAAGTTCTTGCCATCATGAAGCTTACATGCTAATGGGAAACGTAAGTTTACACAGAACTAAGATGATAAACACTAGATATGTAAAATCCTGTCATTGCTTTCATATACACATGTATTTTATTATTTTTGTAAACAGACAAACTAGACTTCATTTGGATTGCTATAGGGGTCAAAACTATTGCAGTAGGAGGAATAGCTTAAATTCAACTTTTGAAATAAAAGATGGGGGAGTTTCCAAGTACTGAGGTGAGCAAGAGGAAAATCTCTGGAAGCAGTTAGGGAATGGTTGTCAGTGAGATTAGGCCATCTACATTTGCTAATTTGCGCTTAAATATATTGGGCTCCTTTCTTCCTAGAGAGACTGGGAGATGATTACATTTCAAAGTGATGGCTTCCAAGTCCTCCAGAAAGCCTTTCCTAAATTTTAACTGGTTATGGATTGGGAGAGGATCTACATCTTAAAGCGGCCAGAGAAAGGATTAACACTTCCTAGGGTTCTAAATTAAATTCTCCAAGGGGATGAGGGACCTATTATCAGAAAGGAATCTATCTAAAGTTTCATCAAACTGAGGGGACTTTTAGGGCCTTCTCAGTCAATTTCTTTGGTCCTTTCTGATAATAGGTCCCTGATGAAGAGTTTTCATATGCACCAATGTCCAATTATTGCTTATTGGATATTGAGCCACATTCACTGAAACTTTATTTTATCTAAATATTATGGACACAGGCTAGTTGTTTAATAAGACTGACTTATCTGTCTTATTTAATTATAGATTGTTTTGATCTATATCAAAGCTCTTCTCTGGGGCTGGGGATGTGGCTCAAGCGGTAGCGTGCTCGACTGGCATGCGTGCGGCCCGGGTTCGATCTCAGCACCACATACAAACAAAGATGTTGTGTCCGCCGAGAACTAAAAAAATAAAGAAAGAAAGAAAGAAAGAAAAAATAAAAAATAAAAAAAATTTAAAAAAAGCTCTTCTCTGTACTTAAATTGCCCACTTGTTTGTTGATGCAAAAAAGGGATTTTAGTTTATGATTTTGGATTAAGAATAATATTCTACAAGCAGTCTCCTATACTACCTCTTCTGCTTTCTCAGGAAAATTTCTAAGAAGACACTGAAAAGATGAAGACTTTCCACAAATGCAGCTAAGGATATGGGAAAAGAATCTTATCTATTGACAGGATCTGGCAGGAAATGGGAAAACAATGGTGTTCTCACCACGTGGTCCTCATTGAAACAAAGCAGGTCAGAGAGGATTAAATATCATGTGCCTCCTACCTCACCAACTGTCCCAGGCCCCCAAACACAATGTCTTTAAAAATTATAACAGCCTTTCCTCTTGGAGAAACACTGCTTTTGAGAGATTGAAAACTTTCATTTCCCATCCTACTTTCTCACCTCACAATTTTATACCGTTCATTCCTGTATATCCTGACATGTATGTGACAAATATTTATGAAGTGCTTATGAAGCACCAGACTTTATAAGTATGAATTTAATCCATTTCACTTGTTTTGCCTCATCAACAGAGATCAATATGTCCTCTGCCCATTGTTCCCAACTCCTTGAGTTCCCTAAATGCTTAAAGGTTAGGATCAGGAGCAAACCAGTTAAACCATAGACCCCTAAGCTGTTGAATATACAAAACTTGCCTCCTCTGTTTTTTTTTACGCTCCCCAATCTTCCCATATCCTTGGGTGCAGGGGACATGAGCCATCACAGATGGTCATTATGACCCTCGGAATTTCTTACAAAACAGTAAATATTAGAGTCATGGGAAGAGCATCCTCAGACTTACTTCAGGGAGAGTTTACTACCATTCTGTTTTTTTGCTAGCTTGCCCGCAGTCACAGCAGAGAGTGAAAGGCCAGAGCTTGTGCCCTGAAGCTCCAAGGGGCTCTGTAAATTCATTGGCCAGTACTCAATAAAGAATATTTGCCTGGGTATTGAGAAATAGATTTCTGCCTTATCCAATAGCCAAACTGTGGAAGTAGCCTAGATGCCCTTCAATAGATGAATGGATAAAGAAACTGTGATACACACACACACACACACACACACACAATGGAACACTACCCAGCCTTAAAGAAGAATGAAATTATGGCATTTATGATTTATGGGTAAATGGACAGAATTGGAGAATATCATGGTAAGCAAAGTAAGCCAATCCCAAAACCAAAGGCAAAATGTTTTCTCTGGTAAGTGGATGCTGATCCATAATGGGCAGGGGCAAGGAAAGAATGGAGGAACTTTGGATTGAACAGAGGAGAAGGAGGGGAAAGAAGGGAGGGAAGGGAGAGTGTGTGTAGGGAAAGATGGTAGAATGGTATGGGCATCATTACCCCTATGTATGGATATGGTTGTACTAATGGTATAACTCTACATAATGTACAATCAAAGAAATGAAAAGTTGTGCTCCATGTGTAAAAAATAAAATAAAAAATAAATAAATAAAGCAAAGTTTATACATGAAGAAAAAAAAAGTAATGCCTATATGAATACATGAGCCACATCATGTACAACCACAAAAATGGGAAGTTATATTCCATGTATATATGATATTTTGAAATACATTCTACTGTCATGTATATTTTAAAAGAACAAATGATATTTTTAACAAAAAAGTCCTAGGGTTTCTTTTCTGTAATTATTTGTTTCCATCTTCACAAAAGTGTCAGCCATCTTATGGACCCAAGAAAAAAATGAAAGGATACCCTTAAAGTTGCTTAATCAGTGTTCTCCCTGCAAGCTCAAACTGTCATTTAATTTTCAGAAAACCTATGTTTTACTAATTAACAGGAGGAGGCATGACAAGAATCATGAAATTTCTATAAAATAACGTTTCTGTTTTTGACAGCATATCAGGTCATTAGAGACAGACTGCACATTTATCACTCCAACAGCACAGCAGAAAAACCAGGATCTGGAAAATAAATACAATCATGGGCGTTTTAACAACCAAATGATCCCCCCAAATTAAACCATTTGCAGAATGCATGTATTTGTAGCTTTGTTAACTACAACTAAGTTTTGTCCTTAAATCCACTTTTGAATGATGGTGACTTAATGTTGCCAGTTCCAATGCATGTAACATCCAAGACATGTTGGCCATCATTTATGTCAGTCCCTTCACCAACACATACACATGCATGCATATGCGCATGTGCACACACACATTCCTCTCACACACATACACCATCACTTCAAAGCACACATGAAATCATATGGGCTACAATGGATGTGTGATTTCCTTATGATAGCATTTCATAGACAAGAGGACTGATTTTAATGGCAGATATTCTGGGGCTTAAGAGCCTACCTATGTTTTCAATATTATGTGAGCTGATAAAGGGGCAAGAGAGACTTAAGAACTTTATACCAGGGACTGGCACCAACTCCAGACTGTTTGTTAGTCAACATAAATTTTCACTTCAAGGATCCAGTGTGTTGCCTTTAATGGAATAGATATGGTGGGTGGGGCCAACAGGGGGTGAGTAGTAAGCAGGTAGTGAGTAGAAAGTAGTTAACATATCATGTATTCCACTGTGCTAGAAAACTTTGAGAACATCATCTCATTTAAGCTTCACTTCAATTGTATGATTATTGTTATTTCTCAAGGTCACAAATCTAGGAAGTGGCAAAGCTGGATTTGAACTCAGCTCTGCTGTCTCCACAGTCCACTGCATAATACACATTCACAAGGACTGTAGGGAAGTTGATTGGCAGTATTAAACCCCAAGGATTTATCTTTCTTTCTCATTGGAAGGGTTTGATTAACTTTCTTTGTGTATTCATTTATTTATTGCTCAAAGAAGTAATATATTCTCTCAGTTCAAGATTCAAAAGATATATAGAAACAGAGGGAAAAGTAAATTTTCTTCTCCCTTGCAGCCAGATACACAGTCCCTCTTTTTGAAGGCAAATCAATGATACCAGTTGCTTGTGTATCCTTCCAGAATGTTCATTTCTTTCCTCATTTGTACCCAAGGTCGAATGTGAGCAGCATGCTTGGCTGGGAAACTGCAGTGGTAGTATTTGGGATGGGATTAAGAAGAACTCTTATCATGCTTACCAAAGGATGCAAAGCAGACAAAATTCATCTTTGCTCATTCTGTCACCTTTGATCTTTCTCTCTTCCATTCCCCTACTGTCCTGCTCACCCTGACCTGTCCCTTCCTCCCAAGGGAGAAACGGCAGATTCAGACACTTCCTGCTGTTACATTCTTCAGGACCCTGTTTACTGTTTCCCAAGGGGCTGTCTTAGCTGAGAAATTAGTCCCCGCTAAGAAATTCATGCGTGTCTGTGGATTGATGAGCTACCTTTTTCACAAAACATGTTTGCATTTTAATAAGGGGCTTCAATCAAAATATAACTTGAATAATGAGGATTTCAGGTGCTTTGTCATGACAGACAAACAAGGCAGTTTTCTTTTCTCAAAAAAGATATGACCTGTGGCTCTTCCTACCTACTTCTCCTTTGTGTGTCAGGCCAGCTGGGGATACCAATACATTGGCCATCTGCAATTGTCTCCCAGAGCAGGACAGTAAGGCCCCCAATCTTGACTATTTTCATTTAGGATGCACACAGTTAACATTTTTGGAACAAAATGCTGTAGACATTTCTCCCCTAATGTACCATAACTAAAGGCTCCGATCTAATCTTTAAAAAAAGAAACAATTGTAACAATGAATAGAATTATTACAACTTTAATATTCACCAAATATTATCTCATTGGAGGTTGGAGCAGATTGTTTCATAAATTCAACACTTTTCCCAGCCCAGAGGTGGGAGGAGGTGAGCATCTCTGCTGAGATTTATTGAAAAAAAATCTTTGTGGCTGGAATTCATTTTGATTTCCATAGGTAATATTCTTCTTGTACAGTCAGGCATAACTTCACAACCCAAGGAAGAAAAACAGTAGGTATCTTCATCCATGTCATCTGCATTAACAAAAACAAGAATATTTTTTAGCTGGGGCATTAAGAACTGTGCATATGGTAGAATCATGAAAAATTTGTATTGAATGATTGAATTAACAATTAGAAAGGAAGGGAAAGAGGGCTGGGGCTATAGCTCAGTGGTAGAGTACTTGCCTTGCACATGTGACACACTGGGTTCCATTCTCAGTACCACATAAAATTAATAAATAAAATAAAGGTATATAAGAAAATAAATAAAAGAAGTGAACATTGTGTTGCTTTCTTTGGATGGTTTAATATAAATATGGAATGAATTAATTTGTTTTGACAGCATATTGTTTAGGCAAAAGCGTTCTTCCCCATTGTGATAAACAGTGTTACTGATCTTAAACTTAACCTAGGGGAGGATATTTATGGCCAAACTTTGGAGGCCTTGGAAAGTAGAATAAGAATATCTAATATTCCCTATGGATTTGATATTCTTACACTGGAAGTTTGGCAATTTCTCAAAGTTGAGATTGTCTGGTGTTAAAAAGAGCATGAGTTTGCACTCTGTGCTAGTGGAATCTAGCTTTTGGCTACCACATGTTGGGTGGTAGCATCCAAACTTCAATTTTAGAACATGGGGCGGTCTACCTGTCACTCACTTTGAGACAGGTCCCAGACCCCTTGGCTGTCCAGGTCTATTGCTTAGTACAACAATATTAGAATCCTTCACATGTATTGCTACTGTTCCTCTGAAGAAAAATATGTGTACATTTGGACTATTTATTTGCTAATGAAATATACTCCAGGGGCAGCAGGGGAACCAATACTAACTAATCCTTTGGCCAAAATGATATCATCCAATCAGCCCCAACTATTATGCAGAAAGGAGCTAGCTTCCACAGTCCAGGTCTTCTCTGTGCTGTGGCTCCCCTGTGCCTCCATATGAGCACCAGAACATACCCACAAGTTAGTTGGCTAGAGTCTGATAAATGCTTGTGGCCAAGGAAAGGTTTCTTTCATGTACACTACTAGCTTTCCCATACAAAGTTAAGTGCTTTTTAAAATCCACCAGACTACTTCCAGATGAGCTTCAGCTCTGGAAAACAGCTGTTTTTTTGGAACCAACATAATAAAAAAAATACAAGTGGATGAGCAGTCATACTATCAGCACTAAGAGGGTGAGAGAATGGCTACAAAGGTGGTCTATCTGTGTGTGAGCGGGGGTCTATTCTGGTCTTCAAGAAAGTCAACCAAGATCATTGTATCATGGACCAACTAGAAGTACAGAATGCAATGTCATCACATGACATAACAATCATAAATATATATGCCCCAAACAATGGTGCAGCTATGTTCATCAAACAAACTCTTCTCAAGTTCAAGAGTCTAATAGACCACCATACAATAATCATGGGAGACTTCAACACACCTCTCTCGCCACTGGACAGATTTTCCAAACAAAAGTTGAATAAGGAAACTATAGAACTCAATAAAACAATTTATAACCTAGACTTAATTGACATATATAGAATATACCACCCAACATCAAGCAGTTACACTTTTTTCTCAGCAGCACATGGATCCTTCTTAAAAATAGATCATATATTATGTCACAGGGCAACTCTTAGACAATATAAAGGAGTAGAGATAATACCATGCATCTTATCTGATCATAATGGAATGAAACTGAAAATCAACGATAAAAGAAGGAAGGAAAAAGCATACATCACTTGGAGAATGAACAATAGGTTACTGAATGATCAATGGGTTATAGAAGACATCAAGGAGGAAATTAAAAAATTCTTAGAGATAAATGAAAACACAGACACAACATATCGGAATCTATGGGACACATTGAAAGCAGTTCTAAGAGGAAAATTCATTGCTTGGAGTTCATTCCTTAAAAAAAGAAAAAACCAACAAATAAATGATCTCATACTTCATCTCAAAATCCTTGAAAAAGAAGAGCAAAACAACAGCAAAAGAAGTAGAAGGCAAGAAATAATTAAAATCAGAGCTGAAATTAATGAAATCGAAACAAAAGAAACAATCGAAAAAATTGACAAAACTAAAAGTTGGTTCTTTGATAAAATAAACAAAATCGACAGACCCTTAGCGATGCTAGCAAAGAGAAGAAGAGAGAGAACTCAAATTACTAGCATACGGGATGAAAAAGGCAATATCACAACAGACACTTCAGAAATACAGAAGATAATCAAAAACTATTTTGAATCCTTATACTCCAATAAATTAGAAGATAGTGAAGGCATCGATAAATTTCTTAAGTCATATGATCTGCCCAGATTGAGTCAGGAGGATATAGAAAACCTAAACAGACCAATATCAATTGAGGAAATAGAAGAAACCATAAAAAGACTACCAACTAAGAAAAGCCCAGGACCGGATGGGTATACAGCAGAATTTTACAAAACCTTTAAAGAAGAACTAATACCAATACTTTTCAAGCTACTTCAGGAAATAGAAAAAGAAGGAGAACTTCCGAATTCATTCTATGAGGCCAACATCACCCTGATACCTAAACCAGACAAAGACACTTCAAAGAAAGAAAACTACAGACCAATATCTCTAATGAACCTAGATGCAAAAATCCTCAATAAAATTCTGGCGAATCGGATACAAAAACATATCAAAAAAATTGTGCACCATGATCAAGTAGGATTCATCCCTGGGATGCAAGGCTGGTTCAATATACGGAAATCAATAAATGTTATTCACCACATCAATAGACTTAAAAATAAGAACCATATGATCATCTCGATAGATGCGGAAAAAGCATTCGACAAAGTACAGCATCCCTTTATGTTCAAAACTCTAGAAAAACTAGGGATAACAGGAACATACCTCAATATTGTAAAAGCAATCTATGCTAAGCCTCAGGCTAGCATCATTCTGAATGGAGAAAAATTGAAGGCATTCCCTCTAAAATCTGGAACAAGACAGGGATGCCCTCTCTCACCACTTCTGTTCAACATAGTTCTCGAAACACTGGCCAGAGCAATTAGACAGACGAAAGAAATTAAAGGCATAAAAATAGGAAAAGAAGAACTTAAATTATCACTATTTGCAGATGATATGATTCTATACCTAGCAGACCCAAAAGGCTCTACAAAGAAACTATTAGAGCTAATAAATGAATTCAGCAAAGTGGCAGGATATAAAATCAACACGCATAAATCAAAGGCATTCCTGTATATCAGCGACAAATCCTCTGAAATGGAAATGAGGACAACCACTCCATTCAAAATATCTTCAAAAAAAATAAAATACTTGGGAATCAACCTAACAAAAGAGGTGAAAGACTTATACAATGAAAACTACAGAACCCTAAAGAGAGAAATAGAAGAAGATCTTAGAAGATGGAAAAATATACCCTGTTCATGGATAGGCAGAACTAACATCATCAAAATGGCGATATTACCCAAAGTTCTCTATAGGTTTAATGCAATGCCAATCAAAATCCCAATGGCATTTCTTGTAGAAATAGAGAAAGCAATCATGAAATTCATATGGAAAAATAAAAGACCCAGAATAGCAAAAACAATGCTAAGCAGGAAGTGTGAATCAGGCAGTATAGCGATACCAGACTTCAAACTATACTACAGAGCAATAGTAACAAAAACAGCATGGTACTGGTACCAAAACAGGCGGGTGGACCAATGGTACAGAATAGAGGACACAGAAACCAACCCACAAAACTACAACTATCTTATATTTGATAAAGGGGCTAAAAGCATGCAATGGAGGAAGGATAGCATCTTCAACAAATGGTGCTGGGAAAACTGGAAATCCATATGCAACAAAATGAAACTGAATCCCTTTCTCTCGCCATGCACAAAAGTGAATTCAAAATGGATCAAGGAGCTTGATATCAAATCAGAGATACGCCGTCTGATAGAAGAAAAAGTTGGCTACGATCTACAGTCGGTGGGGTCGGGCTCCAAATTCCTCAATAGGACACCCATAGCACAAAAGTTAATAACTAGAATCAACAAATGGGACTTACTCAAACTAAAAAGTTTTTTCTCAGCAAAAGAAACAATGAGAGAGGTAAATAGGGAGCCTACACCCTGGGAACAAATCTTTACTCCTCACACTTCAGATAGAGCCCTAATATCCAGAATATACAAAGAACTCAAAAAAATTAGACAATAAGAGAACAAACAACCCAATCAACAAATGGGCCAAGGACCTGAACAGACACTTCTCAGAGGAGGACATACAGTCAATCAACAAGTACATGAAAAAATGCTCAACATCTCTAGCTGTCAGAGAAATGCAAATCAAAACCACCCTAAGATACCATCTCACTCCAGTAAGATTGGCAGCCATTATGAAGTCAAACAACAACAAGTGCTGGCGAGGATGTGGGGAAAAGGGTACACTTGTACATTGCTGGTGGGACTGCAGATTGGTGCAGCCAATTTGGAAAGCAGTATGGAGATTTCTTGGAAAGCTGGGAATGGAGCCACCATTTGACCCAGCTATTCCCCTTCTTGGTCTATTCCCTAAAGACCTAAAAAGAGCATGCTACAGGGACACTGCTACATCGATGTTCATAGCAGCACAGTTCACAATAGCAAGACTGTGGAACCAATCTAGATGCCCTTCAATAGATGAATGGATAAAAAAAAAAATGGACCCATCCTTTCCTTACACTTTCTCTCCCAATGCTCCATCTCTAGTCTCTACCTATAAATATTGCTTCCTATAGAACAAGGTGAACATGTAACTCAAAGGGTAATCTTGGTAGGGTGCACTAGTCCTGAAAGCCAGGAGACCTTATTTCTGGTCCCAGTCTGCTGCTGCTGAACAGAATGACTGTCCTTAAGGCACTTTCCTTTACCCTGATTAATGTTTCACATCTGTAAAATTAGGGAACAGGATTATACAATGTCTAGGTTCTTGTGCTTTCAACAGTCTGTGACAATTGTTTTTAACTCCCATGAATTTTTCTAACCTGTCTCCTGTTGTCCCATTAGTGTAATAACTCATCAGATTTGTACATATTAAGTTTGCTAAGTGCTTCTCTATACATGTTCTCAGCCAAGAATGAGCCCAGATGTGTACATGTACGTATGTGTGTGGTTTGGTTATGAGATGTCCCCTAAAAGTACATGTGTGAGACAATGTAAGACTGTTCACAGGTGAAATCTATTAGATTATGACAATTGTTATCTAACCATTGTATTAATCCACTAATATGTATTAATTGGGTCAATGGTTATGGTTACTGTAGGCAGGTGGAGTGTAGCTGGAGGAGGTAGGTCACTTGGGCATAACTTTGGAGTTTATATTTTGTTCCTGGTGAGCAGAGCTCTCTCTGCTTCCTGTTGCCATGTTCTGAGCTACTTTCCTCTACATACCCTTCTGCCATGATGTTCTACCTCACTTTGGACCCAGAGCTATGAAGTCAGCTGTCAATGAACTGAACCTCTGAAACTGTGAGCCCCACATAAATTGTTCTTTCTTTATGTTGTTCTTGTCAGGATTTTTGGTCACAGTGATGAAAAATCTGACTAAAGCTCTGTGTGTGTGTGTGTGTGTGTGTGTGTGTGTGTATGTGCAGGTTTCAACAGGAAGTATTATTTAAGACCTACTACATGGTCTCAGATTAATTCAGTATCACTGGGCTATAAATGTAAGCAACACAGCCTTTTCCTCACCGTATGGGAAGATCATTTCTGAAGGAGTGCCTTGTACACAGCCTAAAGACTTGGAAGTGGAGCTTGTTGCTGTTGATTTAAGGGATGCTGCCAACAATTTGTGCTCAAAGCTTTTCTTCAGTCTCTTCTGTTTATACCCAACATTTAACCCACACCTGCTACTTCCATCTGAAATAATGCAAAAAATGTTAAAACATAACAGCTTATCAAACTCTACACTTAAAATCGATGACTTTTATGATACCTCAATAGTCCTGCTAAAATATAAAATCCTGGGGGACAGAGGAAGTGATGGAGAGGGGAAATAATAGGGCATGATACTAACCAAATTATAGTGTTATATTGTGTGTATGGGTGAATATATGACAACAAATCTCACTATTATGTATAATTGTAATACATCAATAAAAACAGGGGGAAATATAAAGCTCAATGCAGTGCTTGTTCATTCTAAGAGTTAGCTTTTCTACAAAGTCATGAGAGGTAAGTTTGTACTATCATGTGTTGCAAAGGAAGAGTCAAAGCACTTACCAAGGAGACCTGCTTTCCCTACAGTATAAGGACCACAGGTCACAGATACACTTTGTATAAAGGAAGGAGATCTTGGTGGTACTCATAGAATCTTAGAGTTCAAATGCAGTCTTCCCTAAGGGAAGCAGACTGAGCTTTGCATTGAGACTGAGACAACTGCTAGAATTAGATGGAAGATACTTTTGATATATAAAAATTAAACTTGCCTGTACTGGAGACATTCTCACGGTAATCACCACTGCTAAGAGACAACATTAGCATCTACTACATCTCCCACTTTACTGAGAAGGCCATCAGAAGAACCATCCTGGCAGCCCACTGGCCAGACATGTTTGGCATGTTGGTAAGTTCTCTCCACCACCACCACCACTCTTTGCTTTTCACATCTTCTCAATCTACTGTTGGCTACTTGGCCAGAAGTTCCTGTGACCCAGTGCCTAAACACAGCAGGCACTCAATCAATGCTATTTTGATTAAATCAGTGGTGATGTGGCATAGAGGAAAAGTGATCCAAGGAATCTTGGCTAAAACAAAAGCTCCACTAGGCTAATATATGACCCAAGTCATATTCTTCACTTGACTGCATTCATCTTAGTGTAAAAATACAAATCATTTTCAGGTCATAGAAACAGACTGTATTTTGATGCTGATACTGTTTGAACTCAAGTTAGGAGATAGGTTCATCTGATCAGTTTTGTAAAACATGTAAAATTCAAAACCTTACCCAGACTGGCATCTTACCACAAGAGTTATCCATTCGCAACCACCCACAACGGAGGTGTATCTGCCACTGCTCTCGTACATTCTCCTTCATCACACAGTAAAACACAAAAATGAGGAATCCTAAGCCAGGAGAAGGAGGTCAGTCTTTTTCATCAGCTGTAACCAATAACTAGACACAAAGCTGCTCTTGTCAATGCTACTTCCAAAGAGCCCCAGGGCCATTACCCGATTTCTGATCTCATTTTTCTAGCTTTTATAAGGACAGTGATGGCAAAAAGGTTTGTTATCAAAACTTTATGTCCACCACTCCTTTTCCCCTAGATTGCTATCTATCTTAGACCATTAGAAATAAGAGCTGCTAGGATATCCAGTCTCTGAGATAGTTTTCAGTGATTCCCCACATCCAGTCATTCACATTCTTGTGCAGTCTCCTTTCAACAGAATATGGCAGTGACATGCTAAGATTAGGTTATAAAACACAATAAAGTCATATTTCCTCTCCCCCTGCCCCCTTTCCCTTTCTCTCTCTTTTTTTCCCTTTCTCCCATCATTCACTCTAAAAAAGTCAAGCATGTTGTCCTGAGGATATCTTGGCATCTCTGTGGAGAGGACCACATGGTAAGGAACTGAATCTTCTAGTCCACAGCCATGTGAGTGGGCATTTGTAGGAGCAGTTCCCCAAGTCCCAGTCAAGTCTTCTGATGATTACAGTGTTAGCTGACAGCTTAACTCCAACTTCATCAGAGTCTCTGAACCAGAAATAATCAGCTAAGCTGCTCCTGAGTTCCTGACCCTCATACCCTGTGTGAGATAATAAAAATTCAGGGGTAATTAGCTACACGACCATAAATAACTAATACACATCATCTTTCCACAATTACAGTATGTGGAAAACACATATCTGATGCCCTTGATTTCTACTGCCCTGATTTTGTCCCACAAGTGGGAGGAGAGTGCCAAAGGCATTTATGAGCAGTATGAGCCAATTTTTACCCCATCATTCTCCTTGGGATGCAAAATTGGGACTTAAGATGATCCTTGTTGCAAAGTCCTAGGAGGGACAACTGGATTTCCAAAAGTCTGTGGTGGAATTGGCAGAAATAACTCCTGTTGATACTTTCACTTTTATTTATGGTCCATGCCAAAAGTCTTTATCCACAAAGCCTTTACAGATGCCTCAAACTGGAACTCACCTTTACCACTCCTGAACTCCCATGATGCTTAATTTCTCATAATATCTGCCCTGCTTAGTCACATAACTTTCCATGGATTGTCCATCTCACCATCTAAGTGCCAAGTCTTTGAAGGGGAGAGGTATGTTTCCTTTCCATCTCATATCACCTTCCCTTTTGTCTACAGTATTCTGTGTGGCAGCTCAATAGATTATCAATGATTTGGACTCCAAAGCACTTGAAGTGTAAACTCTCACAGCCTTCTACAACCTTAGCAATTCCTTCTTGGATCTCAAAATATGTATTTTGGTCCCAAGGCCAGTTCAAAAACCTTTGTTCTGCATACAGGGCAGTGTTCAGCTTGCTCTCTATATGGCAAGTTGTTATGAACATCAATGATTAGTAATGATCTTAACTTAATGATCTTACACTCATTGCAAACTGAGCACAAGTCAATATAGTAAATGTGTTCAAAGACAATTTCAGCTAGGGCCTTAGTGGAAGTAAAGAATCTAGACTGAGGCAGGTAAGAGTCTCTGCCATCTGCCATGGGTTGACCATAGCTCCTACCAGTTCAGTTTAGGAGGCTTTGTTTCAAGAGGATGATGACAAAGAGAAATATTCAAGAATAATAGCCAGGCATGATGGTGCATACCTGTAATCCAAGTGGCTGGAGAGGCTGAGACAGGAGGATAGTGAGATCAAAGCCAGCCTCAGCAAAAGCAACTGAGACCCTGTCTCTAAATAAAATCCAAAATAGGGCTGGGGATGTGGCTCAGTGGTCGAGTGCCCCTGAGTTCAATCCCAGGTACCCCCTCAAAAAAGAATAAAATAAACAAGGATAGAAATGAACTTGTAGAAAAGCTGGAGTGTTGTATACAGATAAGAAAATTCTTGGGATAAGAAATGCAGGGTGAGGAGAGGTTGGTAGCATTAGTCACAGTTCTGAAAAGGCTGTCATCAAAAGGAGAAATTATGCCTGTTCTTTGTGGTTGCCAGGTTGGAACCAGGAGCAATGCAAGGAAGCTACAGAACAGCCAGAAAATAATAAATCACAGCTAGTGTTTGCTAAGCAATGGCTCTGTGATAGGCATTGTGTTATTAGTCTCATGTTTACAGATGAGAGACCTCAGAGTCCAAGAAATCTAGTAAACTTGACCCAGGTCACAAAGCTAATATTTAAGTTGGCAGCATCAGAACTGAACACAGGCAGTCTGACTGTAGAGCCCACATTCTTAACCACCATACTATACTACTCTTGGGTAAAGAAGATGCTGGATGGGTACAGTGGTGCACACATGTAATCCCAGCAGCTTGGGAGGTTGATGCAGGAGGATCATGAGTTCAAAGCCAGCCCCAGCAACTTAGTGAGGCCCTAAGCAACTTACAAGACCATGTCTCAAAACAAAATACAGAAAGAGGCTGGGGGATGTGGCTCAATGGTCGAATGCCCCTGAATTCAATCCCTGGTACAGGAGAAGGAGAAGAGGAGGAGGAGAAGAAGAAGAAGGAGAATGAGGAAGAGGAGGAGAAGGAGAAGGAGAAGGAGGAGAAGGAGAAGGAGAAATTAAATACTCTGCTTTATGGGATATTGAGCTTTCTTTCTGGGTGGGGGGTGGGGCTTCCTTTCCTTTTTCTTTTTAAATTTTTGCTGCTTTTCAGTTACACATGAAAATAGAATCTATTTTGACATAAATATGCAAGCACAGAATATATGTTGCTCTAATTCAGACCCCAGTACCTCTCCTTTCCCTCCTCTCCCCTCACCTCCTGCTCCCTTCCCTCTATTGATCTTTCTGCCCTTTACCCATAGGTATTTTTTAACTAATTTCTTATGGATGTACATGATGGTGAGATTCACTGTGGTATATTCATATATGTACATAGGAAATTTACATCAAATTTATGGAATGTTGTGCCAGGAAAGGTTCAGTGACTTATTGTCACTTGATGAGGAGTTGGATTAGGAAGATCTTGGTCCCCTGGTTCCAGCCCTGAGACATTCTGATTCCAGGTGGGAGGCAGCAATCTGGAGGCTAAACAAAATGACATGTTTCACTAACTATCCCCAGGGCTTTAGCTCCATGTGTAACCACACAACTGTGGGGATGAATTCAGCAGCATTCACTCTTTGTCTGAGCAGCAGCCACCTGGCTGGTGGTGCAGCAACCTGATGAGAGCAAGCCTCAGCCTCAGAGCAGGTGAAACTCCTCCAGCTTCAGCACAAACAAGGGGCAACAGTGACTTCAAGCACCTATTACTGCTCTGATTTTCTGCATGGAGTTTCGTTAATTCTCAGACTTAAAGGTTATTCTGTGAATTCCCAATGAGCTGCCTTCCAGCTTTCCCTCTTTGCCTGACAGCCTTCCCTTTTCTTTCCAATAACAGATTGATCTGCTTACTCACCAGAACACAGGCATGAGGGAAGATGTCAGGTTTTTGTCACCTGCATTTTTATTTGTGCACCCTTCCTTCACAAATGACTCATCATGAACATAATTTTTCCCACCTGACCACAGGGCAACCCCCTTAGCCAGATTGCAAGCTTGCCATTTGCTGTGTAAATAGCTAGTTTGTTCCTGTGTTTCACTGCATTCTTGTTTTGCAGTTACTTGGTGTGTGTGTGTGTGTGTGTGTGTGTGTGAGAGAGAGAGAGAGAGAGAGAGAGAGAGAGAGAGAGAAGGGGGGGTAAGACTTGAGTTTGAAACTCAGAGCTCTGAAAACACCCTCCCAAGATAGATGGCACATTCTATCTTGTAGGCAGGACTAGGAACACTGGGTCCTTGATTGACGTAAAGCATATGTGACAGACAGAGACAGCTTGGCTCTGTTGATGCTGGATCTATGGGACCTTGGTTTTAGTCTTCAAAACAATACCCAATTAAATTCTGCTTCTACTCATGTAGGCTCCCTGCTTAGACACTACTTTCCACTTCCACCTCAGGAATGGAGCACTGGCTGTTTTGAAAACACCTCCTTCCTTTTCAAGCTCAAAACTGCTCTCTTGTTCTTTGTCAGCTTTCCTTTAACCCCTCTTTCAATAGAGTGAGTACATTTCTCCTCAGATTAGTGAGCCAATGAGATGTCTGGAGTTAGTACTAAGAAAGAAGTCTGGGCAAGCACCTAGTTCCTAAGCCACTTCTGTGAACATTCTACACCAAGTGCAGTTAGTTCTTGAGGTTAGAGCATCATGCTGGAGTAAGGAGTTAGAGTACCTCAGTGTGGGCCAGGTGGTTTTGTCCAGAGGAAAAATGTAGAACCAGCATTAAAGCCTCAGTCAGTAATCTATATTATAACCAAGTGCAGGTAATCTCAAAGGGTATCAAGTAAGTCTGGTGTGTGTGTGTGTGGTGGGGGTGTTCCTAAAAAACTCATTCCTACTACCAGAGGCAATAAAAATGGCACCTAAAGTCTGGGGTTGTAGCTCAGTGATAGAGCTCTTGCCTTGCGTGTGTAAGGCACTGGGTTCAATCTTCAGCACCACATACAAATAAATCAATAAAATAAAGATATTGTGTCCATCTGCAACTAAAAAAAAATTTAAATGGCACCCGAAGGAAGAACAGCACATTTTGCACCTTTACACTTTCCAGTCAGAATATGGCTGTATAGTAATCCCCTGTAATCCAAAGGAAGGGATGCATTCCAAGATCCCCAGTAGAATGCCTGAAACTATGGAGAGTTCCAAATCCTATATATATATTATCTTTGCTACACATACGTACCTATGATAAATTTCAATTTATAAATTAGGCACAATAATAGATGAATGACAACTAATAATGGAATAAAACAATTATATCAACATTCTATAATAAAATTATTTAAAATTTTTGAATTGTATATTTCTTGAATTTTTCATTTAATATTTTCAGACCATGGTTGACACTTGATAATTGAAACTGTGGAAAGTAAAACAGAAATAAGGGGAACTACTGTATAAGGTTGGTAGACTAGAATCTGGTGGGACACAATATTTCTGTTAAGTCACCATACTGCTGCAAATGAGATGGGTTCTTGAATCATAAGACATTAGGGTAAAACTATGACGTATACAGATTGCTCCACCACATCCCTATACCACTTTGGAAAGGCCTGGAATATAATTGCATATCAATTCATATTTCCTGAGATTCCTCAAGGACAAACGACCATAATTTTAAAAAGGTTCTGAGGTTTTAAAAATGTAAAGTTGAAACAAAATTTTAAATATTTTTCAATAGCTTCTGAGAGTTTTTAACAAGCTATATTCTGAAGAATGAGGGAATGAATTGCTGCATTTCCATGCTTCTTTGACCAAAGAGACCTTTTCCTGATGGAGCATCCCCTGGGACCACAAGTGGAGTGAATTTAGGAAGGAGGTGTATATTGAGTGGAAAATAGTAGAGAGTACTAAAGGAGACCTTAACTCAATGGAGCTAAGTTGGCTCCCTACTAGCCCCAGTAGCCTAAATGGTCTTGGCCGAAGATGAGGATAGTAGTATGAAGACGAGCTTCAGTCCTCCATGAAACAATTCTACATGTGTCCCCAAATCACCCAAAGATTGTTTTTATAGAACAAATCAGGTTAAAATGCACATCAATAATTACTCAAAAATATATTAACCAGCCCCCCAGCTTTACTTCTTATGTTGCCTTTTTTTCTATTGTTAATCACTTCATTGATCATTTATTTCTTTCACCAGAATATATGAAGGAGATTAAAGAGCTATAGAGTCCTTAGCTTAGGATCATCTAACTCAATCAGTTATGGTGAGATTCTGAAGAGGATTTGTAGCAAAACTAAGACTAGAACCTTGGCATGTTGCCTTGGCCCACAACTCCTTGCTCTAACCTTCATTCCTACAATGAGGGGTAGCATCTAGCTAATATTTCCAATGGCTTCTTGTCAAATAGTTGTGAACAGAGGCCTCCTGGACTATTTTCTCCTCCTTTAAGTCTCTAAAAGATGAGATTATTTTTCAAAGCAACCAAAGCCTTGGTGAAGGTGTAGATAGCCACACAGAGAACAGAGAAGCAGCAGTTACCTTGCAAAGTGTTACAAATGGCAAAAAGATATAAGAAAAATATCCTCACGGGTCCCCAGGCGAAAAAGGCAAACCCCCAGGTGAGGCCAAGCAAGAATGTCAGGCTTAATGTGCCTTTGAGATCATGCAGAATCATCTTCTGCCGAGTCTTCTGGCTTTGGGATTTCATGGAATTCAGTTGAGCGAGGACAATGCAGAACATGGAGAGATTCATCAGAAATATGAGGCAAAAATAAGCCACCACTGAGATGTAAAAGAGAGAATCATCTTTGATCCAACAACTATAAGAAACAAACAAAAAAATAAAGAAGACTACAGTGAGGTAGGAAAACATAAGCTCCTATTTTACCAAGATTCTGAACATCACTTAGTCAGTTCCATTTAATCTAAGGACACCTAGACCTAGAGAGATGAAGAACTTGACAGAGTTCACTCATACCCACTGGTAGCAGAGTTAGGACTAAAACACCAACCTTCTGAGCCCAGTTAAGGGTACTCTTCAATACCAAGTTAGAAATCCCATAAGATGTTTCTGTCCTACATATGCAGAAACCTCTCAGTCGAATTCCCTAGAAGACTATTTTTCATCAGCAGAAAAACAAATTATGTTTTTTCCCCCAAAGTGACTCTCCTCTCCCCACCTTACACCTGAGTTTTATTTGCAGGACAGATTCAACTCTGCATTATAAATATTACAGTAGAAGGACATGAACAATTAATGGCTTTTCTGAATGCTCTATCAACAATGATGAGCTGATCAGAGTTAATAAAAATGCTTTAAAATATGATATATTTGAACTATAAAAAGCAACACTAGCCACTGGATTGATTAAAGGCTCTACAGTTTCTATTAAAGAAGAAATTTCTTATGGTTCATATGGATAGATACTTAATTTAATAACATATCTAATTACTGAGGCATTGCCTCTAGTTTTTGAACCCAGACAAACTTGATGAATTCAACTGTGTGTTAGTTTTGCAGGGACCTGGCCCCTCCCTTCTCTCTCTCTCTCTCTCTCTCTCTCTCTCTCTCAGAGGTAGAACCAAAAATTTTTAGAGTTACAATAAAAATTTTTGATCTTTTTAGATATACATGACAGTACAGCATATTTTGACATATTGTACATATATGGAATATAACATCCTAATTAGGATCCCATTCTTGTGGTTGTACATGATGTGGAATTTCACTGGTCATGTATTCATATATGAACATAAGAAAGTTATGTCCAATTCAGTCTGCTATCTTTTCTATTCCCATCTCTCCTCTCTTTCATTCATTCCCCTTTGGGATCTCTCTTTTTTAAAGCCAGGAAAACCCTCTTTGAACATGTTGTTCACGTTGGTGTAGATAATTTCATGTATGTGTGATTTTGTGTGTATGCAACTTGGGAGGGTGTGAAAAAATATTTAATTTTCTTAATGGACTCTAATGCTTAGGGATTTCTAAATATTATCTTCAGCCTTGAAAGAAGGTATTTAAAAAACTTGTAAAATGAGGCAAACTGTATGTTTGGATAGTCATCTCCAAAATATTTATGAAGTGAAAAAAGTAATGTGTAAAGTATTCACCATTTCAGTAACAAATTGTGCAAGAAATCACTCACATGTGGAATCTAAAATAGTTGATGTCATAGAAGTAGAGAGTGGAATAGTAATAGTTTTGAGAGGATGAGGAGAGTAGTGGGAAGGAATAAGTTCTGGTGTTCTGTTACAGTTGGGTGACTATAATCAACAATATTATATTGTATGTTTTAAAAATCTAGAAGAAAGGATTTTGAATGCTTCATCACAAAAAAATAATAAATGTTTTAAGTGATGGATATTTTAATTTGATCATTACACAACATGTGAATGTATCAAAAGATCCTACTGTACCCCATAAATATATGTGATTACTATGTAGCAATTAAAATAAAATAGCTCGAAAACTAAAACAAATTAAAAAAAACATGCAAAAGAATATGTATACAAGGATTATTAGTAACATGAATTACCTCAAGGGAGAGAAGCTGAGTGGCTGGGGTTGGGATGAGGCTTATTTTTCATCCTCTACCTTTTTGTACATTTGGATTTTGTACCATGTGTTGAATTACCTTTCAAAATGTAATTATTTAAAAAACAAAGCTCTTAGAGCCATCTGCCTCTTACTAACAAAGTCATATGTGAAATGGCTCTTTTGGGGGAGAGTGGAGTTGATTTTGTTCTGATTTTACTTTTGCTTTTGATCTTTCAAGAAGAATCACTAGTAGACACTGAGGACCTTTTGAGTCACAAAACAAAGAGGGAAGATGGAGGTGCAGATGAGAATGAAGGGAAGAGAAAAGGCAGAGAAAGAAAGAATAACAAAGATTTTAATTAGAAAGCATCTGCTGCAAAGGGCAATATAATTTTGACCCTCTGGAAACTGTCATCTCAATATGAAAGACAGAGGAGTCTTGGGAGCAGGACCTCCTACATTTGATTCCAGTCCAGTGGGAAAGGAAATCTATAGTGGACGTGATCTTGAGAGGCAACTATAAAGAGAATGGATATGTGAGGGAAAGAAAACAAATGTGAAATGAGATTGTGCAGCCTAAAGGACCACAGGATAGCTATCTACACATAACAGAAGATTCTAAAGAGATAGAATCCAATGAATGACTACTTTGTTATGGCTACAGTTTAGAGAATTAAAGAGATGGGCTTATAATCAAATAAAAAAGAAAGAAAGAAAGAGAGAGAAAGGGGGTGAGGGAGGGAGGGAAAAGAGAACAATAAAGTTGAGCCAATTTACAAAGAAAAGCTTTGTTTGCTATCTTCTTCAGGGAAGATTTTTATTGTTGAAAGGTAGAAAATATTTTCCAATTTACCTCAGTATTTCCTTATAATGGCCACTAAATCTTTCCAGTGGTCTGTGAGTTTTATAATCACAATGGCTTCCAGTTATATAACACTTACTATGGATCAGGCAACAGGCTGAGCAAATATATATATATATATATATATATATATACACATATATATTTATATTATATATATTTATATATATACACACATATACATATATATGATTTCATTTTAATTTGCACATGACATTGACAGCAAACATTATTACTCCAATTTTCCAGAAGAGATTAAAAGTAAGAGATTTGGTAACTTGCTCAAGGTCGTACAGAGCCTAGGTAGCTAACCATTCCTTGAGTGTGGCTGTGACTGTGTCCAGGATAGAAAGGCTGAGGCTAAGTTCTCCCTGAAGCCAGTGTCAAGGCCAAGCCCCAAGCTGAGAACATCCCACCACACCCAGCCAGGCCAGAACCCACCACCTAAGTAGCAGAGCTCTTGGTACTTACAACTGAGTTGTTGGGCTCAGAATTCCATACAGATCTTTTCTCACGGTGAGTATGATTGCTACTGCAATTGCTGGGATTCCTAGAGTAGGAAAGGAAGCCAAAGGATCCCATTATATCATGGGAGAAGGATCCTGATCAATGACTGTGGGCAATGATATATTAAGATACTGTTTAAATGAGCCACAGATGTGCGGGCATCAAAATACCATTGTTTGCAAAATGTTTGTGAATTCTTCCAAGTCAAACATTTCTAGGAGTTCTCCAATCTGCTAAATTAAATGGCATGCCAATGGTTCCAATACAACGCCCACTGGTTATTAAAAATAGCTCAAGTGCCAAAAATTCAACTTGGCAATGGAAGTATCTAGTTCATCAGAATGCGAGTTTGCATCAAGCATTTCTTCTCAAATGATGGGCTGCCAATTTTTTTCCTTTTCAATACTGCCCCTTAGTTCCTACTATCTTTTTGTCTAGGTCACCTTGGAGGAAGGGCACAGGCAATCAGCTGCAGCCTTCAGTGCTTTTTTGACAGGGAAGCTGTTTCCACACTCATTACTAGTTTGACATTTTGACTAGATCGACCAGTTAACGACCAGTCAATTCAGCCAGACTATAATAAAGCAATCAGTTCAGTTAAAATGGTCAAACGTGATGTGAGTATAGACACAGGGTTGAAAAATCCAATTTCATGTACATTTGCAGAACTTAAATGATTTCTTTATTTCTAAAACAGTATTTCTCCTAAATGAAGAGCATACACTCACACACATTTTAGGGGTTTTGTAAGATATTTTCCAAAGCTACTCCAAACCCCAGAGTGCAAAAATTCTCCACCATCCTATTCTGTGATAAATAGGACAGCTCCTTCCAATCTATATAGTCCACACCAAGCACAGTGCCTAGTATGATGCAGACATGTTTCAAAGATACCCCTGGAATGAGGGTAGAGGGATGGAACACCTCATATTTAGGATGGAATTAAGTGGCAGTTCTCAAGTTGATATATACATTATTTTTTAAATATATCTATTGGTTGGTTGTTTCTTTTTTAAACATGGACAAATCTGCTTTGGATAGTTTTTTCTTTTATTAATGCATTATAGTTATACGTAATAGTCGGGTTCATTTTGACATAATCACACATGCATGAAATTTAATTTACTCCATTTCAGACCCATTCCCCCCTTCTCTCCCCTCCTCCCTCCCTCTATTTTCCTTCCTCTACTCTGCTTGCTTTCCTTTCACTTCTTTATTTTTTTTATTTATTTAGATTGGTTTGGTGCTTTATAGAGACAAATAAAGCTGGAATTCACTACATACACTACGTGCATGCACTTAGCATGATTTTGTCAGATTTATTCCACATTTCCTCCCCTTTCCTGTCCCTCCTACCTCTCTGTCAACCTCCATCTTCTACTCCTCTCTATCTTTATGATACTCAACCCCCCCACACACTTTTTTCGTCTTATTATGCTCTAGTTTCCACATATGGGAGAAAACATTCAACTTTGATTTTCTGAGTCTGACTTATTTTACATAGTATGATGTTCACCAGTTTGGACAGGGCTTTAAAAAAAGAATGAACCTTTAAAACAGGTTGCTTTGGCAATAGGAAGACACAGCTTCAAATCTAAACAGATGCTAATACTTATTTCCCTTGGGGACCTTCAATGTATCCACATAGGCCACTTAGGCAAAGGCTTGGATGTCAGCTTATTCGAATTTTGGCAGAGTGCCCTGTGGTCCTCCATGAATGAGAGAAGATGGGAAGCTTGTGAAGAGGTGCTCCAAAGCCATCTCTTACTCACATCCCCTGGGAGGCTATCTTGAGACAGTTTTCCATCGCCGGCCTGGGTGCTGCAGAATTGTGGGACTTTGTACCCTGTCTCCTCAGAACAGAGCTACAGAAGAGAAAATCTCACAGCTTCTGTTTAGAACTGGCTCCTAAGTAACAGGAAATCCCAGAACTCAGTGTGGCAGTCATCTGTTGTTTTTAGCGTGTGGGACAAGAACTTGGGAGCTGGCACTTTGAGCTACTCTTCCTTGTGCTGTCTTTGTAAGTAAGAAAATAAGTCTAAGAGTGATTCATTGTATCTTTCTTTACCTAAAAAACCTGCCAGGCCTCAGCCTCAGCTTGGCCCTGGCTTATGTGTACTTGGTACTCTTCGAGATATTTTTCTCTGCAAGTGCAAGCATTAACCTTCCCTGCATCTCCCTGTACCCTATGAGTGTGTAGAACCAGAAGATCAGAGATGCAAGAAACAATCTCTGGAGAAGACCCACATGTGAGGAGTGAGTGAAGGAGGACCTTCTACACAGGGAGTCAAGGAGGAGTGGTGATGAGGAAGAAGGAAAACCAGGATCGAAGGAAATTTATGACCACTTCATCATTTCATGAAGCCTCTTCCACAACATTTTTCAATCTTCTGGTTGAATCAAGATGAGGGACACACAAAAGGAAGTGCATGTACTGCTTTTGGTTCTGTGTTTCTGATAGATTGCTAAGTATACTGAAGCCATATTTTAGATTATGTTTTGTTTACTATTTGTCTTTGCACCTGACATTAGCATAGATATTAGCACTGACTGTCTATCCAATGAAAGCATGCACTATGCTAATGAACTCATCAAAAGGATGAGTAGCTGATTAGGAAGCTATTGTCTTCACAAAGTCAATGGGGGATAAAATCTATCTACCTATGTACCATTATGTATCCTACTTAATACATATCACTTCTGTATCCAACACATTTTTGAACACAAAAATCTCTTTTGGATAGGCAAGGGAGGATAGGAATGAAGCTGAGCTGACCATGCCCATTGGAAATATAGGAAGGATGCTGGGCCCGCTGTTGCATGCCTCTAATCTCAGTGGCTCAGGAGGCTAAGAGAGGAGGATTGTGAGTTCAAAGCCAGCCTCAGCAACTTACTGAAGCTCTAAGCAACTTAATGAGACCCTGTCTCAAAGTAAAAAATAAAAAGGGCTGGGGATGTGGCTCAGTGGTTAAGTGCCCCTGAGTTCAATCCCTGGTGCAAAAAGAAAAAAAAAAAGAAAGAAACAAAGAGAGAGAGAGAAAGGAAGGAAAGCTGGAAAGCTGGGTGTGGTAGTAAACACCTGTAATCTCAGAGACTCAGGAGGCTGAGGGAGAATTTCAAATTTGAGGTCAGCCTTACCAAATTAGCAAGACCCTGTTGCAAAATAAAAAATAAAAATGTTTGGGGATGTAGCTTAGTTTACAGCCCCTGGATTCAATCCCCAGTACAAAAAACAAAAACAAAAACAAAACACCTTTTCACTATCTATTATGTTGAAAAGAAATACAAGAAAGCAAACCAATATAGTGACATTTATATTAGGAAAATATGCACCCTGAGTTCTATTTCTGGCTTCTTCTAAGGGCAGCAGCAATGAGGTGTCAAAAGGGTCAGGTTGTACCTGGCCAGATACCCTTTCACCCATGTCAAGTCCTTTTTCTGTTCCTTAAATGGCATGGCAAGATCATAGAGGTTAAAAGTCCAATCTATGGAGACAGACTCCCCAATTCAAATTCCTATTCTGTCCTTATTAACTGAGGGAGTTTTGGCAAATTACCTAATCTCTCTGTTTCTCAGTGTCCTCAGTAGGAATAATGATGGACCCATCCCATATAAACACTGTGAAGACTGGACTGGGGTGGGGGCTCAATGGTACAACACTTGCCTGGAATGTGTGAGGCCCTGGGTTCAATCCTCAGCACCACATAAAAATAAATAAAATAAAACTATTGCATCCAACTATTTGGATATAGTTGGATTATTATTATTATTAAATATTATATTTTAATAATATTTTTTAAAATAATATTTTTAATATTATTAAAAAATAAATATTAAAAAAATAAATACTGTGAAGACTAAATGAGCATATAAAGCACTTAGAATAGCTTCCGGTGCAAGTACAAGCTACCTTACTGTTAGCTGTTCCATCATTATTTGTTGATTGTAACTTCTGTAAAGGGATGACTAAAATCTGACAGGTTTACCCTTATATATCTGGCACTTAGCACAGCACATAAGCAAGCACTCAATAAATATTTGCACACCAACTCCTCACCATAAAGGTTAAAAGTTGAATTCATAGAGCAATATAGGCAGAAAAAGAGGTTCACACTCAAACACAAGTGAGGTTATCCTTAATTCCTTAACTATGATATTAACAGATTTTGGCCACAAAATAATTGCCTAATAGAGCTTGCTATGGATTGAATGTGTCCTCCAAAGTTCATGTGGTGGAAACTTAAGATTATAAAGGTTCTGACATCATGAATGGATTAATACCATAATTGCAGGAATGGGTTTATTTTTTGCAGAAGATATTTCTTTGTAACTTCTGTCCTCCACCCCCATGTGATGCCTTCTACTATGATGCAGGCCCCTTGATCTTGGACTTCCCAGCCTCCAGAATTTAAGAAGTAAATCTCATTGTGTTAAGTGACATAAGCCAAACTCAGAAAGTCAATGATCATATATTTCCTCTCATATGTGGAAGTAGAAAGAAAAAAATGTGGGGATCTCATGAAAATAGAAGAGACCAGTAGCATAGAGGAAGGGGATCAGGGGAGAGAAAAGGGAGGTACTGGGGAATTAAATTGACTAAATTATATTATATTGTGTTCATGTATGAATATATAACAAATCCCTTTTACTGTCATGTATATCTAAAAAGAACAAATAAAAATTAAAAGAACAAATTCCACTATTATGTTCAATTATAATATATCAATTAAAATTAATTAATTAATTTTGAAAGGAAATAGAATCTGTTAATAAATTTTCCTGGGTATTCTGTTATAGCAGCACAAAGCAGGCTAAGAATTAGAAAGACACACAGGCTTAAAACAAAGACATCAAGAACAATGGCAGATACACTTACCCCAACCAACTAGACAAAATTTAAGGATATAATATGGAATGTATATGTTGAAGACTTTGACTAGAGCAAAATACATGTGGACTGCCTCCAGGCCCATCCAAGTTAAAGAAACAAGCAGGAAGTAATGAAGTGCCACTGCAGTTGTGATACAAAGTCCCTCTTTCTGAAACGATGACAACCAGGAATTAACCAGAAATGCCAGGTTTAACATCAATAGTGCTGTGCACAGGTTGATCAGGATTTTGGAAGGATAATCTTTTCGAAGTTTGCTAAAAAAAAAAAAAAATGTTAAGTTAGTGAGGGTTTCAGTTTAAACTAATCATTGCCACATCTTATCTGTGTACTACAAAAATAAAAGAACTACTTATTAAAATTAAATTACTTATTTTACTATATTATTTATATATGATAGATGCATATATATATATATATATATATATATATATATATATATATATATATAGTATGGTAAATTATATGGTCATACACACACACACACACACACACACACACACTGACTTTTAGAGTACCCCCAATATCTTTCCAGATAGAATCACAGTATCCTAAATATAGTGACCTTCATTAACAGGATTAATAATAGCCTCTCTCAACTAAGCAATCCCTTTTCTCTTTATTCTCTTTTAGGAAGAAGGAAGAGAAGAGTTTCTCAGATACTACAATTCCATTATCACCAACGTAGTAAGCTGGATCTGCATATTACCGAAAAGGATGATGGCTATGGAAACTGTTTAAAATAGATTTACTTGGATATTTCCAAACATTGCAATGGTTGGAATCATGGAAATATAGCCCTAAGTTTCAATAAGAGATCACAATTTCATTTTGTGGAAATTGATCTAGTATTTCAAAAATTAAATATACCTATTTTCTCCTTTGATTCTTTTTTTCCAACTTCTAGTCAGTGTTTACTGAATTAAGTTTTGGAATTTTTATTTCCTATTAATGTGGTATTCTAGATCGAGGTAAACTGTAAAGTGCACATATTTTAAGAATGCACTCAGTGAATTCTTAAAATTCTTTACATCTGTATACACCTATGGAACTTCCACTCAGATCAAAAGTTAGAATGTTTTCAATACCTCATAACATTCAGTAACTCCCACAAGAGGTAATTAATATTCCAACTTCTATCCCCTAGATTTACTTTTGCCTGCACTTGAAACTTCACATATATGAAATGGATCATAAAACATTATCTTTTCTTTTTCTGGTTTCTTCTGCTCAATCCTATTTAAATATTGTATAAAAGTAGTTCATTTTTCCTGTTATATAGCATTCCATTTTACAAAGATAGCACCTTTTATTCATCCAGTGAATTGTTAATGTACATTGGGGATGGTTCTAATTTGGGGTTTCTCTGACTGAAGCTGCTATAAATATTCCTGTACATATATTTTGATGGACACATGCACTTATTTCTCTTGAATACATACCTAAGAGTAAAACTTCTGGATCAATGGCTAAATGTGTATTTATCTTTTAGTAGGTATTGCTAAAGAATTTTCCAAAGCATCTGCCATTTTGCATTCCCTGAAGCAATATATAAGAGTCCCGATTGTTCCACATCCTTGTTAATACCTGCTATGGTCAGTATTTTCAATATTAGCCATTCTGTTTGGTGCCTAATGGTAATTGTGGTTTTGATTTACATTTCTCTGATGAAAAATGATGTTGAGAGCCTTGTCATATGCTTGCTTAATGGCCATTTAGGCAAAAGTTGGGATTAGGCATGGATAACTTCTTTTGTGAGGTACCTGTTAAACTCTTTTGCCCATTTTCCAATTGTACTGTCTGTCTTGTTTTTGTTATTCTTAAGAGTTTTAAATATATTTGGCATGAAAGTCCTTTGTCAGATACATGAAAGTCCTTTGTCAGATACATGCATTGCAAATATCTTCTTCCCAAACTGTGGTTTGACATTTTGCGATCATAAATGTATAAGTTCAACTTTTTCTTTTATCGATTAGTCTTCTTGTATCCTGGTGGAAAAATATTTTCTAATCCCAACTTTCTTGCTTTTTAAAAGCCCAATTCAAACTTTTTTTTAGAAGTGATAGTTGTTTTGTTTTGTTTTTAATTTATCCACTTCATAATCTAATGGATCTGATCTTTTCCTATTGGGATTTGTTCATGAAATTAACAAGGTTACAATGACAACAGCATCTATCAAACCAAATTAAACTTACTCAGAACAAATCTGTATCAACTTACTGAAAAGCTATGTATGTCACCATTGCAATTCCCAAGAAAATGGAGGATATTCCGCATCCAGTGTTTGTGATAAGAACTAATATCCGTTCATTCACTGCATCCACTGTAGACCTGGATAAATCCTAGGGAATGCAATGTGTGTATGTTACACATCTACCAGAGCAAATTTATGACAATACTTCCAGTGCTCACAAACATGTGATTCCCAGAATGTATAACATATTTGCCATAGTTCTTATACAACCAGATTGTGTAAATAAATACATGATAAGACCCTGTATTGTTTGGTGACTGTGCCTAGTACAACTGACTGTGTACAAGACATGGAGAGACATTGACAGCATTGAAAGAACATTTAGTCCTTGGTTTCATTGTCATTAACATGTTCTACACTTAAAATATAACCAAGCTAATAGATGTGAATTTGGGATACAAAGTGAATCATTACATGAACTGCGCGTCCCAAAACACTACATGGAACATCAAACAAATGTTCTTTTCCCTTAAACCTTAAATAACTCACAAAATTAAGAGATAAAGTGGGCCTTAGAGATCACATAGTCCAGTAATTTCTTAATCTAGGGACCATAAAAGACCTGGAATGACACACAAAATTATTTGAATATATGAATGAATTGATTGGAGAAGAAGGTCCATAGCATTCATCAGATGATTAAGGTGATTTATGACTTGCAGAAAGTTAGAAGTACTGATCTACTCTGGTAGTTCTCAACTGGAAGTAATTTTGTCCTTCCTCCTAGGACATGTGGCAGTGTCTGGAGACATTTTTGGTTGTCACAACTGGGAAGGGTGCTATGAGTTTGTAGTGGGGTAGAGGCTCAGGAGCTGCTGAATGTCTTAAAATACACAGAACACATTTCCACAATAAAATAATTATTTGGGGCCTGGGGCTGTGGCTCAGTGGTAGTGCACTTGCCTGGCATGTGTGAGGCACTGGGTTTGATTCTCAGCACCATATATAAATAAGTAAAATAAAGGTCTATCAACAAAATAAATAAATAAATAAAATAATTTTTGAAAGAATTATTTGACTAATTATTAATAGAGCAAAAAATTGATAAACCCTGGTCTCCTTAAATCATTTATATTTCAGAAGAAAAATCTAAGTTCCAAACAAGGAAAGCAACCCAAACAAGATCACAAAGCTAGCTGATGACAGAGCTGGAAATAAACCCTGGTCTTCTGACTCCTACTCTAGTGCTCTAATTGATTTGGGGGAAACTAAAAAAAAAAAAA